CTTCTTGCTCTTTCATGCTTTCTTACAGCCTTCTTACATGGTTGAACATGTATTCTTCTACATTATGTCGCAGTCATGTTCAAATCGTATCAGGATCCTGCATGAATATTAGTCACAGATGCCAATGGGCCCATATGAGCCTCCGGGATTTTGTTTGATTATCAAGGTTATCGAAGGTTGTAGAAGATCTTCGATATTATTGGAAGGTCTGTAGACTTCCGGTGAGGCTTTCTCCAGTCCTTTATCGGACTCGTTGGTCCTCTCCGTACTACTTGTCATCTTTTGATACTATATCTCATTATTTTGTAATCACATCTTCTGACCATACTCTGTCTCGACATTACTAATAATCGTTAAATAAACCTTGTAGGCACCCTCCCCAAAAGACGGGTGGTGCAACTTGGATCTCAGGAGCATGGGCTGAGGGTGATCGTTTTGTTTATGGGCGATGTAAACATGTATTGGTGTTTCGTGTCATTTATCGCAGGTTATACATTGTTCTCGCTCATCTTATCTCTCCAGTCATTGCCCCTAGATATGGGGGCCATCTTGATTTTATGTGGGGAAAACTCAGTTCTTTTCTCTGCTTACGGGTGTGGGATGGCTAGGAGTGGCGCTGCCTCCACCTTTACACTACACCTAATCATCTGTTGTGCACGCAACTCTGGACATAATCCACTAGCGAGTCTCCTGGAATATTACACAGCTCAGCTGTGTCGTGACATGATAGTGTCTACGATCTTCAGGTGAGATTATATGGTCTAGCGACACTGTCAGCCAGGAGATGGTTCTCGATTTTTGGATGTGTGTTGGGAATTGTTTGTAGTGTGTTGCTTGACCAATTTGTGTGCATCTTAATGTGACCTTATTATGAATGTATATCTTGTTCTTCGTTACACTGTGGGGCGCAGCCCCGAATTTCGGTGCTTTTTTTTTTTTTTTTAGTCTTTTCAGCGACTGAATCTTTTCTTGACTCTGGGTACACCTTCATTGACTTGGTCAATGCTATCTGGACCCCTCATTCAATGACTGTCGTTCAGTGCCTGGCTGCACCCCTTGTATATACATTTGAGTCTCTCTGGATGTGTAGTTGATCATGTACATTACGTTACCAATTGCTACCCAGGTCTTCTTAGTTCATCATATTGATTATACTCCCTTGTCCCTAGCTACCGGTCCTTGGACCATGTTTAAGGTCATTTCATTGCATATTTACGTATTTTCTACCTCTATACTACACATTGTTGTGTATTTAAGTATGTGCATATTGCCTATACTGATGTTAGTGCTAGGTTGGACTATGTACATGATCATTTCCCTGATATTGGACTGCCCCAGTGTTCAGTTATAGAACTGAGTTCTTTCATCCTTTCCTTGTATGTCACTGCCAGCTTCTGTGTTGCAATGTCTGTAGATGGATGTAGATTTCCAATCAACCACTCCTGCCCCTACAGTTCCTTTTCGTTGTGACAGGAGAAGCTAGGATTATGGCCCTGGCTATGGCCTTTTCTTTGTGTTCCTTTTCCAGAAGGTACAATTTTGTTTTAAGTGCATTACATGTCCTGAGTATTTCTCCTCGTATATATGCCATTTGGCGATACATGCGTAGTTCTGCCCTGCTGGAGCTGATTGCGCTGCTCCTTCAGGTTGTGAGGTCGCTGTTCTTCACTTTGCGTCTCGCGTTTCGGCTCGTGGTGCTCGCGTTTTCCTTGTTGGCCTTTGCTTGGGCCGTGGCTCATAGGTTTTCGTTGCCATTTTCTCTTTGCTGTTTGCCGAGTCTTCTATTCAGCAGTTTCTGCAAATGGCCTTTTCTCGTTATCATTTGTTATCTGACTTGTTGGTCCTTTAGGGGTCCAGGGAAGGGGGGGATTCTTCCCCGACGGGGCATTTCCTCTTGCCCTGGTTGGTTCTTTCCCAGCTCGTCAGTTTTGGGTTCCTGGTGCCTTGGCGGACGTTCCTTCTGGTTCCTTGCCAGCCGGGGTTTTCAGGGACTGCTTTCTCGGTGTCTGCACCCAGGGGTTTTCCCCAGGCTCCGCCTCTTTCAAATGATCGATCCAGTCCATGATGGGGCTGGTTCAGTCTTCTCCTCGAAACTTCAAGTCTGGTAATTTTGACTCGAATTTCTCACCATCTGTTTGGTGATCAGGATCAGGTGGCTTCATTGATGGTGTCCCACCTGCATGCTTTGTCTTGGTGGTGGTATGGGGTTTTGCTGGCGATTCTAATTTTTCTTTTTGTCTCTTTGTAGGTATCCTGCATATTTGTTGAAGTGGTCTTGTCCTTCTCTCGTAGAGGTTTGGGACTGTTGTTTGGACACACTGTTTCGTGGCCTTAGCAGAGCCGCTGCAGCTTGCTTTCGGTATTGATGTTACTTTTGCACTGTTTCGCAAGCTGTCTTGAGCATTGTTTCCCCTCCGGCCTGCTTATGCACCTTCTGAACTGGCCTGGTCTTTGGACAGAGTGCTCTTGTTTCTGTCTGCCTCTGTTTGTTGTGGCCCCTTCAGTTCAGGATTGTTTTTCCAAAGCTCTTTTCTTGTTGGCATTGGCCTCTAGGAGTCAGGTTGGGGAACTTCGTCCTCTCCTCCGGCACAGGGGGTTTCTGCTCTTGTGGGCGTGGTGATAAGTTTGTTCGTTTGCGGCTGATTTTCTTTTCTGGCGAAGAATGAGACTGCTGCCTTCCGGAGGGATCCTTGGGTTATTTATTCTTGGTTGGTCAGGCTGGGGGTGCACCATGTGTTGTGTCCGGTTGCGGCTCTCCGCCGTTATTTGTACGCCTCGGGCTCTATGGCTGGGGATGCGCTTTGGGTTAATCCAGTTTTCCTTCTTCCCTGTTCTCGGGTTCGGATCTCTCTGGTCGACCACAGGGTTATTCGGTCTAGCCAGCCTGCGGTCTATCCCTGTGCCCATGACAATCGAAAGTTTGCTGCGCTTGCTGCAAACATTCGGGCACAGGGTATTTGGCGGCCGAACAGGGTCCTGGCTGCACGCTACCTCGTGAATGTCCCTGGTCCTAGTTGGGTCTGTGTCGCTTTGGGTCGGCAGTTGCAGCCTGTTTTCTTGACTTCTAGTTGAGATGTAAGCACTGGCTGCCTCCCGGATAAGTCCCTCTGGTTTTTGTCTTTGGTGGAGTAGCTCCGGGGCCGAAGGGGCTTCCCCCAAACAACCAGAGTTGAATGTAATGAAATGCCATTTTCTGGGTGAGTCCCGTAGACTCCCCGGCACATTCCCCTCCCTCCGGTCGGCATTTTTTTTCCACATGTTTTTGACATCCAGCGTCAGAACTGCAGGGTGGATCGCCATCTCGGGGGTCTGGGGCTCCCCGTTCCCCCTCCCAGGGAGGGGAAAGCTGCGCAGACATGCAGCGCGGCTCGTGTGACATCATGCTCGTTTTTATTTGGGGAATTCTCTCCACTCGTTTATCTATTTTAGTAATTTTCACCAGAATACAAGTTTGTTTTGAAGCGCTTACCTTTCTGGGTGCCTGTCCCGGTCGATGGCAGATATAGAATGCTCCAAGTCCCATGTGCAATTCTATAGGACATTGCTCCTTTTGCCTCTCTGAGGGGGCCAGGTTCTGGCTCGTGATCCCCAGTAGGCCAAGAACTCAGATCACAATGACTGATGCCAAAGTTTAGGGATCTACATATCAGCCTGGATTGCTCCGGGGGAGCCTCCTGGACTCACCCAGAAAATGGTGTTTCATTGCATTCCATGCTGACTTTTTATTTATTGTGCATGATTTTTACCCAAGTATCCTGTTTGGAACTCCTGTGACCCTTTGCACACCGCCACTTTAGGTATACCATGTTAGTGATTGGCTGTCAATCGTGGTAAGTTAGATTTTGTTCACGAATGGATCGGAATCGATTAGTCAGACATCAGGAGTCTCGCTAATGCGATCTATTTAAGTTCTGTAATTAAAGTACCGTTAAGGATTATGCAGATTTTCCATTGACTCAAATCTGAATACTGTTACTTAAGCCTTCAGCCCCAGGTGTCTTCAACACTGAGTGTCCTATTATTCACAAAACTATAACTGTGATGATGACCATAGGAGTCCCTTAAAGTGTTTTCAATTATTGAAGAGATTCCCACGACCATTGTGGATCAGGACCAGGTGAGGCTAGTCCGAGAGGAGACCATCAAGGACTCTTACTCGACCGTGCTCTCAGGCCTTGTACGCTGGCTCTCTTATTTTCTCTTGTGGAATCCGACAGCTTCATGAAGTGTCTGCCATATGCACATTGGTGACGTTGTATGTAATTGCAGTCGAGATTAAAAGCAAAGAGAAAACCCCACACATTTTTCACAGTAAATTATATTTTTTAAGTGTTACTCTATATACATATTTTATCCAGGTCTTCTTTTAGGGCATTACACTTACCTAAATTTCATATCTTCTCTGGTGGCTTGGCATTATCAGCAAAAATATTCATATAATTTTGTATTCCCTCTGGTAAATCATTTATATAGACAGTGAGCATTATTAATGTAGAACTGAACCTTGTGGCATTCCACTAGTAACATTTCTCCATATGTATGTGTGTAGTTGCCTTAGTGTAACTATACTATCTAAGTGTAGTTACAGGATGAGAGCTATGCTTATGGTGCCCTGCCTTCCCATACCCTGCCATATGATGCTTTGAAACTAAATGACAGTTTTGGCACCAACGACCTCATTTAACTTGTTCCAGCCATGTGTGTGTGTGTGTGTGGGGGGGGGGGTAATTGAGGGGGAGTAAGTGCAACTGAATATATATTCATGCTTATGCTAAAGTGTGTGATAATTTGTTTTCACAGCTGAATCGATGATGTTTCCTATATGAACAATATTGTTAACTTGCAATTAAATTGAATTCAGGATTTTTTAAAAGTTTAAGCATGTTTTGCACATTTTTCTTGTTTCCCTACCCTTGAAGAAAATAAAAAATAAAAACTCTGCTGTTTCTCCCTCATTATATTTGTAGCTCACGTTTATCTTTTGTACTTTTTCTTGACAGAAGCACGGTATGGTCCTTTTGATAGCAATGGTTTTCAAGCTGGTGTGAAAGTTTTCATCAAACTTGAATTACTGCCAAATCGGCAAGAAGTTGAAGAAATGAGAAGAACTCGTATGGCCAGGCAAGGTAAACCTAATTAAATGTTGAATGAACATGTTAATGAAACAATTTTGAGTACTGTATGAGCTTGGTTATCCAAAGCCCACTGAACTGAATACAGTATTTGGGTTATCTGTCAAAAATTGCATCCAGATAATTTTCTGGCAAATCTTCGCCATATCTGGACAGAAAAATTCAGATAACTGGAGATTAGGTTACATAAATTTTCAAGATCTACAGTATCAAAACGACAAACTACAAAAAGTAAGTTAAGGTTTCTCTTTTAAATTATATTTTCTGCTGGGGAGCCCCATCAGTTCCTGGAGCTATTGGACTGATATTAGGTAATATCAGTATGGGGGCTTCAGTCATATGAAGTAGCCATGTCTACCGGGGACCTTTAGCCAGAACATGGTCCCCTCAGAGAGGCGAATGGAGCAGTGGCCTATGAAACTCACATGTATAAAAGTATTCATGTCTGCCATCGACTGGGGATGAGCACCCAGAAAGGTCGGCACTTCAAAACAGACCCATCCTGGTAGAAATATTGCAACCTAAGATTGAACAAAGGCTAGAAACTCACCGAAGAAAAACAGGCAAACAAGCAACACATCACACTGCACACCGCTCGTTTGTGCCGACCCCCACCCCGGGAGGATGAGGGGGTCCTAGCCCACTGAGCCGGCATCCGGACCGTCAGTTTGTCGGTTGAAGCTATACAGGGCGGATGTCTGCTCTGGCCTTGATTACCTGATTGGCTTTATCCTGCTGGTTTTCCTTCTGTGTGTTGAGGTGGCCAGGAGTTTGTACCAAGGGCTGCATGCGCTTAGGGATCCCTTCCCTAAGCTCCCTGTCAGTACACCCTTTGATGTTCAGAGTTCCCTTCTCTGGGAAGGGAATCTTTCTTGCAGGCGCTACAGCCTTGCAGGCGCTCTGCAAGGCTGCATCTGGCATTGTCAACGCCTGATGCTCAACTTGGCTGATGCTTACTGTTTTACCCTTTGATGTTTCACGGCTTGTTTTATTACTTGTTTTTCTTTATTTATATCCACAGAGAGCTATTATTTCCATATTTGCATCATGCATGCAAAACTCGAACAATAATTGTTTAAATTGTCATATGAAGATGATCACATTACTCCTAGTAACTTTCATGATGACAACTGCATTCATACCGCAAAATGTTAGTAGAATTTTTTCATGGGTCAAGGTGAACTCTATTACATCCACATAGACCTATTATACCCATATTTGCATCATACACGTAAAACGCAGACAATAATTGTTTAAATCGTATTTTGATGATCACTAGTCTCTTAGGGATCCCCAATAGACAATAATCCCAGCCTAAGGGTTAAGAAACATAAGTGTCTTCATGCATAATAATTAAGCTGTGTGAAGAATTATTCACATGTATGTGGGTTTATTTCTACAATAGTCTACTTTTCTTTCACAGTTAGTGGTGAAAATCACGACGGAAGAAATCCAGAAGAAAGGGTTGATGTTTATCATGGACATATCCAGGAAATGTCTGAAAATAAAGGTCCAGTAGATGTTTATGTAGAAGAAATTGGCAGCAGGTAAGAATCTACGAAAACTAAAAACCATTTTCTGGGGAAAGCCCCTTCGGATCCCCGGAGCTATCCAGGCTGATATATATCTCTTTAGAATTTGGCATCAGTCGATGTGGGTGGAGTTTTAGGCCTACCGGGGACCATAAGCAGATCCTTGCTCCTTCAGAGAGGCACGAGGAGCAATGGCAATAGAAATGCACATGTGATTTGGAGCATTCTATATCTGCTATCGACCGGGACAGGCACCCAGAAAGGTAAGAGCCCCAAAACAAACCCCTATTCTGGTTAAAAACGACGAAAATAGACAAACGAGTGGATAGAATTCTTCAAATAAAAATGATCAAATGAGCAGGACGTCACACGAGCCACTGGGAGGGGGAAGGGGGAGTCTCAGAGCCCCGTGCTAGCGATCCACACCCCAGTTCTTCGGCTATTGTGATCCGGCATGGTCGTGTGGCTCCAGCTCCAGACTCTTGTGTTGTGCTGTCCTCTGTTTCAGTATTACTCTTACGGTGGCATGTGAGCTGGGAGTAATATTCACAGGTACTGTAACTACTCGATTATCTGGGATTCGAATATCCGGAAAACACCCTTACATGGCCAAAATCGTAACCAGATAACTTTATCTCGATATCCGGCCAAAATGTCCATAGGAGCCGGAAAATCAGGAGTTTGTCTGGATAAAAAATCTGGGCCGGTTAACTTGCTGCCGATGTTGCAATATCCAGACAGTCAGTCGGACAAGGAGTGAATTGCCCCGATATGAAAGCCAGACCACGGGCCGTACCATATTAATCCCGTACGACTGTGGCTAGAGGCGCATGGTGTAGGATGGGGTTGTGTCGGGGAAGAGGGGAGCGTTGGGAGGGACCACCTGGGTACAGGAATTACCATTAATTTTAGAACAATTCATCACTCTTCCCCCACCTGCCCCACATCCCATACACTTGCTCTGCTTCAAGGTGTGTAGTTCATTATTTTCCATAAAACTAGAAATTTGATTCCTTATCAAAAACTTTTATTGTGTGTGATGTTAGTGCAACTGGTCCATAATTTTTTGCCAAGGCTTTATTACCCCCCTTATGCAGTGGAGCTATATCTGCTGATTTAAGTGCATCTCTTATCTTCCCTATATACAGGCTCTTTCTCCATATTATGCTGAGCACTCGCGCCACTGGTACTTTACATTTCTTTATGAATATTGAATTCCACGAGTCCGGCCCAGGAGCCGAGTGCATGGGTATATTGTCACTTTCTCTTTCAAAGTCTTCTGAGTTTGTGTTACTATCCATTATCCATTATCTGCAGCTTGAATGTCATTCATAATGAAACTGTCTGGATCATCGACTTTCATGTTGTTTATTGTATTGGTATGCTAAACATAGCATCATACTGGGTTGTTAGAATTTCACTAATTTCTTTGTTGTCCTCTGTGTACTCAGTTATAATTACAATTCAGTTGTAATTGAAGGTCCAATACTGGTGGAGGTTTTTTATTTTGATTTTGCGTATGTTAAAAAATATTTTGGATTTTTCTTTATCTCTTGTATAGCTTTCTGTTTCAATTTCATTTCCTCAGACTCGTATGATCGCTTCAACGTTTGTTCTATTTCTTCGATCTCCCTGTTTAGGTTTATTTTCCTTTCTTATGATAGTCGTGTCTGCCTAAGCATTTCAGTTATTTTTTTCCTTCTCCTGTACAGTCGTCTGCGTTCTCTTTCTAGAGTGGTCCTCTTTCTGACCCTCCTCACAGGCACGTACTTCAAGCAGACCTTGTATGCTTCAGCTGTCAGTTGAGCTATTCCCTGTGTGGGAGTTATGGCGCTTAAGACCATTTCTCATTGAATGTTTGCAAGGTCTACATTTATTTTTTCCCCCATCAATACTCTTATTGTTGACATTGAATTGATTGAATACCCGTTCTCGCTTGTTGGGTCTCTTTAGACCTACTACCGTTATTTATGCTAGTTCGCACTTGAATGAGCTTATGATCTGAGTATGTAGTATCTGAGATTGTAATATGTCTGATTAGTTCATCATTGTGAGTAACAAGTCTAGTGTGTTTTCGTTCCTAGTTGGTTCTGTGATCTGTTGATTGAGCGAGAATTTGTAACAGAATCTCAAAAGTTCTCTGACCTGTAGTTGGTTATTTCCCGGGTTGTTCCCTGCTATGATATTTGTGTTTGCCATTCTCCATCTTAGACTTGGTAAATTGAAATCTCCAAGGAAGATATCTGGAGCTGGGTTTGCTAGATTATCAAGGATGTTCTCTATTTTGTGCATCTGCTCTGTGAATTCCTCAACCGTTGTATCTGGCGGTTTATATATTAGAATAATAATTAGGTTTATTTTTTATACCTTAATTCCAAGTACCTCTACCACCTCATTAGTTAAGTTTAGTAGCTCTGTGTATACCAGGTCCTCTTTAATATACAGACCTACTCCTCCATTTGACCTAGTTTCTCTATCACATCTATATAAATTATAATTTGGAATCCAGATTTCACTATTGATGTAATCTTTCGTATGAGTTTCTGTGAATGCCCCAAATATTGAGTTTGACTCTAATAGGAGGCCATTTATGAACTTAACACTATCGCGCGCGTGACCGCCGCACACTTTGACGTCATGGGGCGGATGGTGCAGGCGAGTGTGTGACGACGAATAAATGTGAATACTCATTTCAGTTTTCTCACCTTAATTCTCGTGCTACGTCGTTCGTTTTGGTATCATTGTGTTCACAATTAAATTCCCTGCAGATTTATATGCATATACAGTACAACCTCGATTCAACGTACTATATGGGACCAACCCCAGTTCGTTGAAGCGTTGGATTCGTTGCAAGAGGTGACCTTCAGGAGGTGTTTGCATCAGTGTCATTTTTTTTTCTTGTAGACAATAAAATTGTATTATCATATTATATACTGTACCTATATATTATTACTCTACCAACAAATACTGTGTTACATTTGTTATTTACCTTATTGTTGATGTTATGTCCATCTTGAAGTCTCATGGAGTTGTGAATGCTGTACAGTAAATACATACTGTAGTGTATTATGCCATTAACACTCTTGTTAAGTAGTTCTGCTGTATGTTGAGTACTACAATACAGTTTATGAAAACTATTGTACACTAAAATTACTGCAACTTTAATTTTAACACTATTTTTTGATTTGTCATGAGGCTGGAGTGTTCATTCCATGACTTTGTTGGACATATCTGCACAATCAAGGAACATCCGCGCATCATGTTGGCTCTAAATGCACTCAATGTGTCAGTGATGGCTAACTGGTGGGTGGATGGGCAGGCAGGCAGGGATGGAGAGGCTGAAATGTAGGCAGGCAGGCAGGCAGGCAGGCAGGAAGAGGCAGGGAGGGAGGCAGGTAGGCAGGCAGGCAGGCAGGCAGGCAGGCAGAGCTTGGGAGGGAGGGAGGCAGGCAGGCAGAGGCTGGGAGGGAGCCAGGGAGGGAGGCAGGTAGGGAGGTAGGCAGAGCTTGGGAGGGAGGGAGGCAGGGAGGCTGGGAGGGAGCCAGGGAGGGAGGCAGGCAGGCAGAGCTTGGGAGGGAGGGAGGGAGGCAGGCAGGCAGAGGCTGGGAGGGAGCCAGGGAGGGAGGCAGGCAGGCAGAACTTGGGAGGGAGGCAGGCAGGCAGGCAGAGCTTGGGAGGGAGGGAGACAGGCAGGCAGAGGCTGGGAGGGAGCCAAGGAAGGAGAGGATGGCGATGGATTGATGGAAGGATGGAGAGAGGGATGGAAGGATGGATTGAGGGATGAATGGATGGATGATTTGAGGGATTGATGGATGGAGAGAACGATGGAGGTATGGGTGTTGAGTTGAACAGTGTGTGTGTGTGTATGGGCTGCAGGGGGGCAGGTGGGGGGGGGGGTTGTCGGTGGTGGTGAAGGGACCGGCTCACTGCCTAACGGCTCACCGGCCTAACTCATTTGACCCAGTTAACTTTTTTTTTTAACTTGATTTGTTTCTTAAATTCTGGATGGATGGAGGGAGAAAGGGGATGGATGGAGAGAGGGAGGGACGGAGGGAGGGATGGAGAGGGAGAGAGGGATGGAGAGGGAGAGGGAGGGAGGGATGGAGAGAGGGAGGGAGGGATAATAAGAGAGAGAGGATAATAAGAGATATAAAAAACTTATTTTAGACCTGATTTATTAATTTTATTATTTCGAGGCCGTAGTCACTGAACTGTGGCGACAAAATCGAAACACGCATGGTGCCGTGTGTACAAGGATTAGACCCGTCCACTCACGCTGGAGTTGTTCCAATAACATACAGTAATTTCTGAAATAGTAGATGTCTATCATATTGCAGTATATTTTCAGTTTTATTTAGTTTAGTTTAATTAGGATAATAAAAAGCTATTAAAAACACTTGTTTTAGAAATTATTTATTAATATGAAACTTTTAAAGTCATGGGTCACTGAACTATGACGACACAGACGAAAGTGAGTGAAAGAGGTTTACAGTACAGTATTCTCTTATCTGTCCACCCTCACTCATCATGTTTCATCACAGAAACTGTCTATAAGGAGATTTTACCAAATGTAGCTAGGTAATCACGCTTCAGCATTTAACTTAACACTTTCGCTCACCCCGCGCACCACCCCTCGACAGGGCGATATGGGCCCCAGCGGGTCACGGAAGCGCGCGTTAATTCCGAAAAGTGTATACTCTCTTCAACTTTGTCACCTCAATTCTCCTTCTACGAGAATAAATTTGGTATCATTGTGTTCGCAATAAAATTCTCTACAGCACTAAATGCATATAAACTCCAAAAGCCCGGCTAATTACCCGCAGCAAACAGAGAAAGTGCGAACGAGTTACCCGGGAGCGCGCAAACGGGATAAAATGTTTTCACTATTTTCACTCTGGTCACCTCAATTTTTGTCCTAGGTCTTTCATTTTGGTCTCAATGGGTTCGTAATAAAATTCTCTAGAGGAACATTAGCATATAAAAAAAAACACCTGGTCACGCTCCAACCGCCGACG